GATCTACCTCTATGGATGCCTTCTAAAAACACATGCTAAGCACAAAATATGCAGCTTTGTGGGTAATTTTGGATGAAACATTTGAACACTACAATGAAAATATGCCGTAGTATCATTCTAATGCATGATGAGGTCGCAATAAGTCGCGTCAAAACGTGCATGGTCATACGAGGTCATCCAAGGTCAGCGACCCGTGTTGAAGCAGCAGAGAGGCTCGATGAAAGATTGCGACGCGTATAACCATGTCCTTATCGTGTTTGTGAAGCTGATGACACATAATTTCATGTACCAACGTACCTGTTCTTAGTTGGTTACAACTAGCTTGTCAAGCGTCGAAGGCACTATGCATGATCTATGCAACAGCCATGAACAACACATCAGTTCTGTCCAAAGAAAACATTGTCCTGGACTCAGAGACCCGGTTAGTGCTTCATTTTTTATTTGGATGATGCATAAATTTGACCTAAGCTGATCTCAGATGACCCCTAGGCCGGCCTTAAATAGTACTTCGTGTCTGGAAAACTTCTGTCCCACAGCTGCACCTGATAAAATAAACTTAGAAGCGCTTTGTGAAAAAGTATTGCTTTTCTGAACTACTGGTATACCATTTTGGAACGATGACCTGACCTGACCTGGTCCCTGTTGAGGACAGAAATAGTTGGCATGTATACGAAACATCTTCATTTCTTACTTCTCGTTAGATTTTCTCGGTTTTCCGCCAATCGTGGCTTCTCTAGATTTACTCAACAAAATACGACTTGTGGGCATTATTACACATCACCCATGATGTCACCTGCTTTCAACGTGCGTGCGGCACGCCTAAGAAGAAACCGCCGGTGTGAGCAAGCCTTTATATCTGATATGTTGTAACTTGAATATGACTAAAGCTATAACTGCAATGTGATTCAGTCATCATAAGCCGTCTCATAAGAAATAATAAGAGCGTGCTCGCGAAAACTCACCCGGCTTTGTTTTTCTTGAAAGGAATCGCTAACAAACATATTTCGTTGCTTACATTTCTATTTGGGTACGATTCGCGCACGAATCAGTTGCATAACACCAGACTTCAAAACACCAGACAGCAAGCAAATTCAGAGGATTTATATCGCCATGACTCATCAAAGATACAGACTGCTGAAGTGGAGTAAAGTCATCTGCTGGCAGTCCACTGAAATCTTCCGCAGACGATTCGTGAACAAATTATTGTGTGGAAAACTGGCCTAGGCACACTGTGTATGATGAGCCTTGGTCATGCCCGGCATTCGGTCCGGGGCGATCAGCATAACGCTTGACGTAAACCTGCCGTAGTCGAGTAAAGCCGTTGCGAACTGTTTCTGACAGGCTTGATTAAAGTTGAACAGATTTATCACGAGCAGGCTCAGTTGCCTTCAAAGTGATGGTCACCGATCGAGACAGTCATCTAGAATTTATTTATTCAAATTGTGTAAAACCATATCATGCCAGCGGACAAAAAAGTTATCGCTTGCAATTGGCTTCGAATGCGGGTTCTGATTTGTTTCACTTTATTTAAGTGATTCTGGCGAAGTTTGGGAAACATTAAGACTCCTTCTTATTCCATCAAAGAACCGTTGTAAGCTATTACCTCAACCTCAGTCTTGAGCTAAAAAGCAGTTTTGCCGCTCTGACTTATTGTGTATCAAACGGGTTTAGATAACTCACCCTGACTCAGTTTGGTGGCGGGCGGAACTTGTATGAAACCGTTTTAGGTCTGGGAATAACACCGAGGGGAAATTTGTCATCCTTTTAGAGCCTGTGTTGGTTGTTTGAGTGTGGTGAGTGGATTGATTCAGCCAGTGGTCGATATATGTTGTGCGGGGTTGCAACTGTCCATATTTCTACCAACTACATTTAGTTTACGGCAAATCACACGGCCTTGGTGAGATAATGTTGTGTTCGATATCACGCGCAGCGAGAGCCCAATGTTTTTATTCTTGTGGCTTTGCTTTGACGTGGCCAAGCTTGCCATGAGCCTACCCATGGGGAATGTGCTCTCACAACTATTAGAACAGCCGAGCCGGGAGATACGGCTTCCATAATTTTACTTGATTTACACAACATAGTAATTAAATCAAATATAAAATTGAAGCATCGTTTTGAATCATGCTTGCGACGGTGACTTGAAAAATCAGCAGTGAAATCAAGGAACGCGTCAATGCGACGCATAAGTTTGGAAGGAAGATATGCATATTTGGAGACATACAATATATCCAAGAAAAAACAAATATAAAAAACTTTGTCTGTCTCCCACAATATAAAGTGGTCTGGTCTTTCTCCTTAACCCTCGCAATGGTTTGCCGTTCTTCATAACGCGGGCTAAGAGAGGGGAGTGGTGATGAGACCCCTTCCACCGTGTGTTTC